TAGTTCTCAACTTAACCTCAAGTTGAGGTCAAACCTTAATGTTTGTTGGGTGGTTACCGTTGGATTTGGCTCATTTCAATACCGACCCACCTTGGGTAAAGGCAGCCTTTATAGCAAATTTGGTTGAGATATTATCTCAATTTTTGCTCGAGTTATCATATACACGGACGGACATATAATAATGGCTTAATCGATTTCAGTCTTTAAGCTGTTACAAATAACCTTTATGCGAACGAAGTTATAATACCGTTGTGCACAAATACACTCAGGTATAATTATATATTTGTTGTAATTCTTACTATCATTGTGCCCTTAATTTTTAGTGTAATTTACAGCACGCGACAAAAGATAGCAAATCAACATTTTTACCAGTTTTGACTTCTTTCCTCTTGCTTTTTTTAAGGTCAATTAATTTTTTATTAAAGTTCAGCTCCTTATCTAACAAAAACCATATAAGTCCAAATCTTGAGCTTGAGGCCGTTTTTAATGAAAAACTATTGTGGAAAAGCAACAATAATTTATAAAAATTGTATTTGGGATATCACCACACCTCCTCATCAGACTTCTTCAGCGGGATTCGATCTAACGACGATCCAAAAGTTATTCTAGAAATTAAAATTTAAATGCTTAGAGTTGGGATGAAAAGTTTGCGGAATTTATATGGTACCAGCGTACCCGGCGAACTTCGTCTCGCCCAAAATTAATTTTTCGTTAGAACATTTTGGTACAACACTTTCACCAACTACTTATTGACTTAATGACTTCCAGTGGCAGATTTATCTGGTCTGATTATGGTTTTGTGGTCGTCAGAAGGCATAGCATTCATTGCCATTTTAAATAACCTAACCAAAGCGTTGTATCCGTAACGAAGATTTTACAATTTTCCAATAATCTGGCTTTTCATAGCACAGTTAGTCGCAAAACACCGATCAATTTCGATATCAGAGTTGCCAACGAAATAAATTTGTTTTAGTTGTTAAGGTGGTTGTTCCTCTTGAGAGCGTCCTGCATAAATTCGCGACGCATGCACTCAAAGTTGTTCATTAGCTTGGGCGCGTTGCTGAGGTTTTTAATTTGCACTGAGGTTGCGGTTGCGTGAGGCAATGCTTAATATTCTGATAGGAGAATGGGTTACGAACACTGAAAGTAGCATGTCGAAAATTCCAACTATCTCTGAAGCAATCGAAACGTATTCACAAAAGAAATGTACGCGCCAGATATTCTCATTCAGCCTTATCGTGAGTTTAGCCCGAATTTTTTTCACTTGCCCGTAGTGAATACACGGAAACGAAAAGTTAACCGGTTCGAGGGAAATGAAACTCATGATTAGGCTGATTTTGTATTTTTAATTAAAACTCCATCGTACATTTTTCAAATCCGGCAACAGTAAATGTAACCGGTAATAATTTGCAGCGCACTCTAACCTACATCACTGTTTAGCATTGATACAGTTTTGAACCTGGGAAACCATTTCAATTGTAATATTAACATCAAAATTAAGGAAATGATTTCCAGTACAAAATCTGTGGAAAATCAATTTTTCCGGAATTTTTTAATCGGAAAATGCTCTCCATTTTCGTTGGGAAGAGACAAACACAACAAAAAGACAGATCACATAGGACAATCCGTTCTAGAGCTTTGCTCGGTATTACGTAAGCAACTCTGTTTTATGCATATATATAAATCTAAAATTTTTAAATAGTTGACAACCCCCTTAAAGTGATTACTTCTGGTTAAGAGGGCATTTAAATGCCCCTCATTCCATCGTTGTGTTTTGAAATTTTTTACTCGGAAGATACGGCGTTTTATTGACCGGATGCAGCGCTTTCAGTCTTTAAAACCCTTCAAAAACGTTTCAATAAATAACTAAGCCCCCTATTATGAATTCGTACGATGCACTATAGACGCTTGCATTCTGTTATTCTCTATTACGAATCGATGTTGTCGTATGAAATCCGATAATTGGCGTAGCTGATTTGTGCTAGTTCACAATACCAAGTGAACAAAAACCACACCCATTCACAATAATACATCTGCCGGGCGTATGAAAACGATAAAACGAGAACCTGATTTCCTACGATACGCCTTGCAAGCGTCTATCGTCTATCGTATGAAAATTCATAATAGGGGGGTAAATTTGAAAAACTCGACTATTTTTCGCGTGTACGTTTGGTAACAGAAAAATAGAAACAAGTATATAGATTTGTTAGATAAAGAGCTATACTTCTATATAAAAAATAGTGAACATTAAACAAATAAAAGATAAATATTCAAAACTGTTTGAAATGTTGAGGTGCTATCGTTTTGTCGCGGGCTGTATGCTGCCTTCGTACCTGCTATCACTTGATATGAATTTCCCCTTGGTACGGAGGGTTCTTGCACTTTTTATAGTGATTTGGAAATCGTGCTTTAGCGAAAAAAATGGAATAACACGATAACACTTTCGTGCGATGATTTTATACGACTTTCGACGTGGATTACCAAAACAAGAGGACATTGATCAACTTGCTTACACTCTTTGCAATGAAACACGACCAAAAGAAGCCACTGTTTGTCGATGGTTTAATGAACTCAAAAAATTTCACAATCGGTTAAAAAACGGATCGTATGAATTGGAGCAAACAAATATTGTAGAAATTCGATTTCGGTGCGTTAAATACCGTTTATAGCCTTTACATACATAAGTAGGCAGCGAGTGATGGATTGTGTGCGTCTTTCAAAGTGAAACTAGCAAAAAAAAAAGAGAAACGGAAAACGATCGATTCTGAATCAAAAGTCTTCTGCCAAATAAAAAAAAAAAGATCTCAAGAGGGCGAATCATTTTGACAGTGCCAGAACTCACATATCTGCTACAATTGGCCGTATTAATTTGACACAGAAAAACTAGCGCTTTTCCTTACTAGACGCAAGATTTTCGAAGCAACCCTCGTATTTGCGCATATTTAAAAACCAAATAAAATTCCTATGATAAACAAAAATCAAATCAAAAATCTGCAATGCTTAACCCTTTCAAGACCATAGGCTAATAAGTAAAAAAAAAATATGTCGAAACATATTTTTAGTTAAAAAATATTTATTTTCTGTTTAAAAAAATTGCAGTACATTGGTAGATGTCCAAACTCGATAAGTAAATTACTCGAGTAAATCCAGGTAAATACAAGTAAATCCTGGGTTCGAATCGTCACATACGATACGAAAGAACATTACGTGATACGTCAGGCGGTATAAGCTGAATGGGACAAAGTGAACGTTCACGTATGTCATAATCCGAAAAATTTGTTTTTACGTGACGAGTAGTACGATATCTTATGTAACGATTCGAGCCCTGGTCGACACTCATACTACGAAATAGTGTGAATGGAAGGAAAAGTGCAAACAAAGGGCCGTAGCATAAAAATAAAGCAATTGCCGTTTCTTGAAATTTCATACCTTTCACTTATTTTTTGTTTCCTAATAATGGTTTTTCATGTTTTTTTTTTTGCAACAAAGCGCACTCAGCGGCCGTTTTTGGCCAGAAAGGCCTTTTTATGGTATAAATATTTGCATCTAAATCAACCTTAACTGTTTTAAAAGCTGCTCAGCGTTCATCAACTTCAATTGGAAATAACGATTAAAATCGCCAACCTGGGAAAATTGAGAAATTACTTTTCTATATACATCATCAATTCACCAGCCGACTGCCGAACAGTGTTATCGATGGTATTGTCGGTGCGGATTCCTCGTTCATTTTGCTATCGTGAATGGTTATAGTGGCTCATCTATCTACAAAGTTTAATTTTCTTTCTTAATGCAATCATTACATTTAAGCTAAACTATCCCCAGCGAAATTCAAAAACAAATCTGCTTAAATCGATTTTGCTATTAGTAAATTCTTTAATTAATAGTACATAAATTGGTTTTTGCAACTCTAAAGGATTAGACGAATCACTCAACTTCCTCCTCGCTTTTGCTATCTCCATTAATCTAGCATCTTCAACATCCTTCACAACATCATTAAACTACAGCTAATCACCACCCATTTGTATAATTTATTTGCTTCAACCAATTATTTTAAAATTAAGGTTAATCAAACAGCCGGCAAATTCACGTAATTTTCTAATCGCTTGTTTGCTGAATGAGCGTCATAGCCCAAAGATCAAATAACGCGATAAACGACGCTTTAAAATTTTTACTATTGAAATAATATAATAACTAAAAAACAGTAACATTTATAATCATGAAATTGAATCCAGTGGATAAATCTGTCATCAAACTAGGTCCTGAAAGGGTTAATGTGTGAGGTGGAAATAAAGTTAGCAGGTCTTAAGCTTAAAATAATGAATATAACTGGAACTGAAAATTAAATAAACGAGTCAAAAACATTAAACTCATTTTTGATTGAAACCACGACCTTGCATCTTTATTCGAGTTCACAGCGCAGCATCACATTTTATATCGCGTGAGTGTTTGTATGTATTTAAAATCACTCTACAAACACAATACTTTGCTGCATTTCCACTTGGCATTAAATGGCGAACATTTTAATGACAGAGTGGGGCATTAAAAATATACGTGTCATTACATTAAAAAAAAGTCATTAAATTAATTTCCGTTCTTTGAATGCCTCCAATTTTTTGTCATTTCGACGCTAGTGGAAATTGGGCATTATAGTAGAGTATTTCATGGTCTAATAATTAGCAAAACATTTGGGTATAAATTCTAAACCTATTGTTAAAATCAGTTTTAACAACTACTACACACATTCACTCAATACCCAAAACAATGTGTAAACAAATAAATACCGATAAGTAACAGATAAGAAACTTCATTTATATAAAAATAAACAAAGATTAAATCATACTCAACATAAACAATCGCAAAACACAATCGAAACAAATACACTAGTAGAATAGATACGCTTTAGAAAATGCTTAAAAATCTCATTTACCCGCTGCTCTGGTATGCTTAGGAGTGTACGAGTACATTAGAAATGCTACTGTCGACTTTTAGGGGGGAATTACCGTTTTTGGAGAGAGTGCCAGCTGCTTCACGTTCGCCGTCAAGCCATTTATATTCGCATCTGTTGCGGCTTGCTGTGGTTCAGTGCTATTTACAGCTGTCACAACACTACTGCTAGTTCCGCCGCCAACACCAATGCCGACGCCGACGCCGACGCCAACACCACTTCCACTGCTTGTGGTAGAAGTGGTCGTAGTTGTTGCTGTTTGACTATCAACCGAAAATGTATTCGCAGCAGACCAGTCAATGGTGCAACCCGGAGCCATGCCCACAATAAACGGTTTGTGTGCTGGACTTGCCGGTACTGTATCACTTGTAAGCGCATCACCCACGGCGGGTGTCTGCAGGGTTTGTGTAATTTGTTGTTGCTGTCGTTGCGTCTCATCGGTTGGCTCGATATCCGACTCGTTGGTCTCTTCTTGTTCCTATAAAGAAATAAATTAATTCCAGTCTTTTTAGTGAGTATGTATAATGTGCTTCAATAAATTTACCTCTTCAGGGCATAATTCATACGCCATGGACCATGTATTCTTGGCAGATTGTGAACGTTCGAGCATGTAGCCATTTGTGTTGTCATTGCTCTGTGCGGGTGGTGACCACGAATATGAATTGTATTGACAACTACGTTGCCGTTCCAATTCATCTTGCAACCATTCCACTGCCATGGTCCAGTGCCGTGCGATACTGGCGTTCGAGTTCAGCATCTGTAGGGCCACCTGTGATTTGTGGAATAGTTGTGTAAGGCATTTGATTATTTGGTATGCGCGCTTTTGATAATGTGTCTTTGTGCGCTGTATCGTCTCCAGCAAGCCTTCGCGCTCCTCCGCTACACCGTTGAGCGCATTATGTATGCGATGATGTTGCCACGAATCCTCGATTAGTAATATATGCAGCAACAGTTCGGTGTGATGGCGCATATCGTGGCAATAAGCGAAACCGCATTGCCACAGCAGTTCTGTTAGTACGGCACGTGAGAAATGTGGATTTTCCCAGCTGCAGTACTGTAGTAGCTTGATACCTTCCTCACCAACAGCTGTGTCCTCTATTAGCTTCTTAATGTAACTGTTAATGAATGAAAAGAAAAAATAATAGAAATTCAAACTTAACAAGTAACAAAGTCTAAGTTCGGCCGGAACCGAACATTAAATACCCCGCCCAAGTAGTAAATATATGTTTTTCAACTTTCCGAAAGCTACGGCTACATGGTAAGCCGCGGGTGTGTCAATTTTGAGTAAATTAGCGTCCTTAAATCTCGAAATATTGAAGTTCCAAGCATTTCTGAAATTTACCGTTATATGAAAAGCGGCCGTAATTTTAGTCCGATTACAAGAATTTTCAACGTTTTGCTTTTATGTGGCAAGCACAATAACCATACCGGGTTTGGTACAAATTGGTTGAACGGTTACCGAGATACATACATATATGTGATCATAAGTGGACGGTGCCATGCCCATTTTCCAAAATTTTATCATAAACGTATTTATTGGTAAAGAATTGTTGCAAGCATCAATTTAGAATAAATTAGCTTTAATATTTACTGATTTATCGAAAATTTTGGATTTCTCTAAATTGCCGTTATATGGGATGCGGGCGTGGTTATTGTCGAATTTTAAAAAATTTCGGCCATTTGGTATGCTGTACCAAGGCCAACCAACAACTGTGCCAAGTTTGGAAGAAATTTGTGCAGCGGTTACCAAGATATACACATGTAAACATAAGTGAGCGTGGCTACGCCCATTTTCCAAAAATTTATAATATTCTTATAAATATCAATTTTTAGTGAACTACTGAACTACTGAAGATAGTTACATTCGTCTATATCTATCTCGATTCGTTTTAGCTGTTACAAACAACCGCTATGTAAACAAAGTTATAATACCCTTGTGCACAAGTGCGCGCGGGTATAAAAACTATCACAGTGTTTCACATACCCAGTACGATTAAAGAGTATGTCCGCACATTCTGGCGATAATGGCATGAGCTCCTCGCGCCTTATATTTGGATCTTTGTATGGATTCTCAAGAGGTTGTGCATTTTGATTCGAATTCTGGCACTTGTCAGAGATATCGCTGCAACGTATTAAATGCGAAACGACCTGATGCAACTTGCTCAGTTCGGGATACTGGTATTTTATCGATGGACCAGGACCTTCATCCAAAGCGACTTGCATGAATATAAAGGGCACATTCAACTGCAAAAGTATGGTAGAAAATATGCATTTTAACTGAAATTCAATTTTGAATAAAATGCAATGATTTACATACCTTCAACAACTGCTGCTTTTCTGGTATACCCAAGCCCACGTACATGCTGAATAAACTGAAGTAGTGTGGCAAATGCTTGCCATAGTCGACAGCCTCACACTTCAGCAGTTCCAATACGCTAATCAAAATCTGTTCACACAGATTGCTGCCTTCGTAGCCAGCCAGCGGCTCGTCGGCTATAGCAAAGTGGCAGAAGAAAACTACCAACTTTACAAATACAGTGCGTACCTCCGGTGATGGAGCCATTAAGATATATTCGCCGAGACGAGACGCAGGATTGAGAAGCGCATTATTTGCAAACCATTTGCGCACCAATGAGGAGAAGCGAATGTGATGTGATAGTGTATCATACCTGAAGAACAAAAATATATAAATTAGCTCAACTTCAATTATCGTAAAATTCTGGAAGAGCATAATCGAAGATAAACCTTACCAATTCTCAAGTAAACCTACCATTCTATAACAGGTCCACGCAGCGATTTTTTCGTTCTAAAACCTGTGTGGAATAAGAATTGCGATGCTAATTGCACACCCAACAATGAAAGTTCTTCAGCAGCTGGTGTCTGCGTTGTAAATTAGAAGAAGAATTAGTATTGCAACATACGTACATTGGTAAATGACGCAAATAAACACACCATTTTATCGGGACGTGTTGAAGGAATACTGCAGCTAACTAATTTCTTAATGAAATTGAAGAATTCCACAGAGAATATGCTCTTTGAGTGTAAAAATCGTATATTTTGATGGCTATTTGAAGGAGACAAATTCTTTTATTTCAAATACAAATAATTGACATAACACTTTACTTACCGTACACTGCGCTCGATCGGCTTTGGCAGCGGCAATACGAAATTGCGACTTTCTGCCAATGACAATTGCTCCACACAAGGTTCAAATTGTACAGGCTTTTGATCGTAACGTGTATAGAACAGCATATATGCATTCCACCATCGCTTTTGACGTCTGTATTGCATGCGCTTCAAATTATTATCATAAATCTCGCCCATGTAATCACCGCCAAAGCATTGTGCTTTCAACTCTTCATCCTCGTGCATTTTGCATTCGCTCACCTCACCATCGTCGAATTTATACCATTGCTCCTTACCAGTGGAGGGATTCCTAAAGACACGGCAATTGATCATATTAAAAACTATCTTTATTTTAAGAAAATTTTATAAAATAGCTTACTTAGAAAGTATGTAACTAAAGTAATGGCCACCGGAGGCCTGTCCGCTATGTACCACAATGCCAGTTAACTCATATTTGGTAGTTTCGCCATTTGATTGGCAATTATCGCCCACCTCGACGACTTCACCCTCCAGTTTGGCTAAGCCAGATACTAAAAGAAGAGGAAGAGAAAAAAAAAATAGGTTATAATTATAATCGAATTCTTTGTTTACAAGGAATAACAGATTAAGTCTAAAAACAGAATTCCTGAAATTGCTCTGAAAAGGTTGGAACGTTTTGCTTTTTATGTGGCAAGCACAATAATCATACCGAGTTTGGTACAAATTGATTGAACGGTTACCGAGATACACATACATTTGTGTGTGGTCATAAGTTGGCGATGACACGCCCATTTTCCAAAATTATATAATTAACCAATTTTTTCCTACTTTTACTTTTTTATTGCAAACATCAATTTTGAATAAATTAGCATCCATGTTTACTGATTTATTGAAGACTAGCCAATGCCTAAAGTAAACATCTTTAGTTTAAATTGAAACGACTAAAGAGCAGAATCCTTCTCACACATGGAATACTTTCGATGTAATGAGTTTTATTTTTTTTCTATCTTCCTCCCAACCTCTACTCTTCGTTCTAATTACATTTATGTTATTCTGTTTCGTTATCTTTATTTTTCCTTTATTCATATGATGTCATATAATGTAAATCAATAATATATCGATAACAAGAGCGATTTACTAATTGATAGTAACATCGATAACAAAATCGATAAAACTATCGGTAACATAATCGATAGTGACCTCGATAACAAAGTCGATAAAAATATCGATTATATAATCTATGAAATTATCGATAACAAAATCGATAAAACCATCGATAACAAAATCGATAAAAATATAGACAACTAAATCGGCAGAACTATCGATAACAAATTTGATAAAAATTTTGATAACAAAATCGATAAAAAGCATCGATAACAAAATCAATAGAAATATCAATAACAAAATCTATAAAAATATCGATAACAAAATTTATTAAAACTATTAACAAAATCGATAAAGATTTCGATAAAATAACCGATAAAAAAATAAATCGACAACAAAATCTACAAAAATGTTGATATCAAAATCGATTATTATATCGATAAAAATACCGACAACAGATATTGATTCATAAATATATCAATAACAATATCGATTATTTTATATCGATACCAAAATCGATAAAAATATCAATAAAATATCGGTAAATATATCGATAACAAAATTGATTTTTATGTCGGTAAAAATATCGATAAGTGCATCGAAACAATATTGATAAGTGCATCGAAACAATATCGATAACAAGATAGACAAATATAACGGAAATTCCGAAATAGTCTCGAAAATCTCGAAATAGTCGCGAAAATAGTCTTGAAAATCCTGATTTAAGGCGCTAGCAGTCACCGAGGTGTACGTATGCCGTATCTGTTTGACGTACACACGCAGTACACGTCACGCGTAACCGTGCCACGTAAACGATGGTGAGTTTTCATTTACATGGCGCTCTCATAAGTTTGATCGTGTCAGCTGACACGTTAACCTACATTTACGTCGGTGAGTGTGGGCACTTTTAGTCCCGGGAATACCGAAAATCTTTAAAATCCCGAAATAGTTCTCAGACTGAGTCTCTGTGTCTATCTATGTCCTTTTCTTTATAATTACCTTTATATCAATCTTCCTTCCTCTATCTTAATCTTCACTTTTATCGGTATCCTCATCCTCATCTTTTTCTTATTATTTATTTTTATTTTTACCTTTATGTTTATTATTTTTTTCATATACATACATAGGTATGTATGTATATATTACCCTTTACCTTTTATTTTAATTTCACTTGCTCATCATTTTTGTCTTTATTCTCACGCATATGTTTTTTTTTTATTTTTACCTTTGCCTTTAACCTTTTCTTCATCTATGTACGTACCAGGGTAGCCAACTCATTCTTCAACTTCTAGGCTTGACAGCGATTAATGATTTGGTTACATTAATTGATTATTTTTATCCAATTTACGATTTGGTTGTATCGTAGTTTTGTGTTTCATTAATCGATAGCTTCAAAAGAGTGAGTTTTTAAAAAATTAATTCTTGCAGTGAGGATATTGTTGAAGTCAATTTCAGAGAGTATGAAAAAAAACTCCCAAATTCTCTCTAGAGTAGAGAATCTTGCAAATTTCTGCAATTTCTGAATTTCGGAGTTTCACTGCCAGCTGGCGTCACGGTTGCGTTTCAAATATAATCAGTCTCATTACGTAAGTCGTAAATTAGACTAAATTGTACGACTCGACAACATTGGCATTGCCTACTGTCGGGCTGAAATATGTAAACGACGAAAATCCTCGAAAACTATGCAGTGCTGCCAAGTTTTCCCGATTTAATACACTAGTCGAGTGGAAATTTTAAGCAATGACGTGAAATTTGCGATACGATTGGACTCTCGAAAAACGAGTTGCATTCGACACGACTTTCGCAACGAGGCTGAATACATTTTTATAGAATGGTGGTGTGGTGCGCGGGCCAGAGCATAGTCGGAACTGGCACCAGGCACCACCTCACATGATGTCACGTTTCCATAAACAAGTATTCTTATCCCACCGGAGTTGGAGCCGAATGTATGTGAGGGAAGGGAAAGATGCGCGGGAGTTGAACTGTCTTAGATGCTTGCTGTTGTAGCGGCGACCCAACCCTTCCTAGATCGGTTTACCATTCAATCGTTGACGTCAAGTTCAACTAATGAAAGACCCGACTGGACTGATCCATAGCCAGGGCGCTAGATGAGTGGGATTTTGGGGACATGCGAGGAGGAGCCGTGAGTCATGAGGTGACTCTTCGCATGCCGGGCACTCCTTAGACACATCTGCGTTATACTGTTTAACCTGCTGCAGTATCCAGAGCTAAGTTGGGCTACGGTGGTGCGAGTTTCTCGAGGCAGACAAAGCTCTGTCTCGTCAGGTGACTGTGCTCCCAAGACGGCATTCACAGAGTTCCGGAGTCAATGCAAGTCCGACTCCCTGTGAATGTCGTTTATGGCTTGTCGAGTTCAAAGGTTGTTTTATGAACCTCAAGACTTCGTCCGTTGGTTCGTATAGGTTCCTTGTAGCGTGCCTAGCCGAGGGCTATGCTGCAAGCAGGTGTCTGTTCGGGTGCCCACGTCTGTGATGCCCTACTAGAAACTGCTTACTGAGCATTTGAGCCTCGTCGTGATGGTGGTGCGATGGCGATATCAGAACTCATCCAGTTGCTGGCCGGAGAAAGTTCGGAGAGGTAAACGTTTACCTCCGATCACAAGTCATCAATTCCATTCACGGACGCCATTTTCGAGCAGTCGTCAGCGTCCCTCTGGTGGTAGAGAGATCTTCTAAATGTAATAATTAAACAACAGCAGTTTTCTGGTTTTTTTCACTGAAAATTACTGACCAATGTCGACCACTCAGATTATTCGCTGATCGCCGTTTGAGTCCCTGTGGGAGAGAGGAAGCCTCAATGTCTTCTAGTAGCGTGAAGAGGCTGACGGTGTCTCACAGGGGCGCAGAGTTAAGGATTTTTCAGGTCTAGGGGAACTTTATTCAAAAAACTAAATGGTGGCTACTCATGCCATTCGACTAGTCATATATAGAGGCTGCTTCACATCATTTCAAATTTACCACCGACAACGTAGTGCACTCAACAGATTGTCTCAAAATGACGACATTGTTTGTATTCGATAAAATTATAGTTGTGTCTGCAGCAGTGTGGTCGTGCGTTTGCCAAGCCATTGTTTTAAAATAAATCAAAAAATAAGCTTGTGTTATTAGAATAAGAATAGTACAGCTGCACCTGCCTGCGCCTCTCATATATATTTTTTTCATTTTCTGTAGAGGTGTACAATATGAAGAGACGAGACGTTTTTCAAATATG